TCCCAGTGCAAGTGTCCCTGGCACTTAGGTAGCCTTAATGATTAGACATACCTTTTGTTTCTTTTTTATCTTTGAGTAGTTGTCATAGTAGTGAAAACCTGTCTCCTTTTCTTTTTCCTGTTTTTTGAGATAATACAGAAAAATCCTCATCAGTTTTTTCAATGTGACATACTTTGAGATACTTAAAGTTAGCCGTGATATTTCCTCTGAGTCCTCGTCTCTAAGCTAAACAGACCTAATTCCTTTAGCTCATGTGACCTAGTTTTTATGTCACTCTTTTCTGAAGGTTCTTCAGTTTAATTTTCTATCTTTTAAAGTGTGGGACTCAGTCTTCTAAGTATATTCTGATTGGCCCAGAGTGGAGCAGGACTTGCATGTCTTCTATTCTATACTTCTACTGATTCTAAGATCACATTAGCTTTCTTGGCAGTCAAAACCCACACTTTTAACTAACACTTTGCTTGCTGTTGATTTAGGAAAAAAAATGTACCAAGTTCTTTTTGTCCCAGTTGAGCTACATATCTCCCATTTTGAACTTGTACATTTGATATTTTGAAAAGCCAGTATTTTTGAACCAAAATCCTAGTAGGCTTATGCAAGGAAATGAGTGTCATACAGCGCTGAAAAGCTACAGACAGAGATGTTTGTTTAGGGACTTGGGCTCAAACGTTGTTTACTTTTCACAGATAAGAATGTGGCTTTGCAATACTAAATTTAGTTTAAGAATCAGAAAAGCTCGATGTTGGTAAACATTATTAAGTGGAAGGATATAGATTGTTAGTGAATGTTATTGCAGAATGGTGGTTTGAGGCTTGAGTCTAAAAGACAATGGCTTTAGCAGAAGTTTAGTTTTCCAGCTCCTCTGAGATGTCAGTTTGTGTGGATAGCTGTAGGTCCTGACAAGAGACTCCAGTATAGACAGCAGAAAGCTACACTGAAATAATTTGCACTCACTTTTGCTCTGCATCCATTAAAATTTGCATTCTTGGCTACTAATGCTGGGCTTTCAGTAGATCTTAGTATGTTTACAAACTTGCAGACTTTGTGAGTGAGTGAGAGAAAGAAATTTGTAGTCCATTGTAGCCCTCCAGAAAAGTTTGCAGTGGAAAAAACCTTCAACTGCAAAATTAACAATGGAGATCACATTTTAAAATGTATGAAAGTATCAATGTGTTGGTTTACAGGAATGAAAATTTCAATGTAAGTTCGTTTAAATGTTTGAAAAATGGTATGTTTAAGGCTCTTTTTTCTTTCAAAGGTGACTTTATAACTTAAATACCTTTAATCTTGGAGCAAAACCAGGAAGCTACTACTGTGTCATCTCACTTCTTCCATTTTTTTTTTCCAAAGCGTTGGAGGGTTGATGGGAATTTAAACACATATCCAGACTTTGCCAGGCTTGCTTAATTAACATTGGTATCCAAGATATGATGAAAGAAACAGATCAGAAAAAAAGAGGTAGCTGGGGAGGAACCAGTAAGCAAATATTGTTCAATCCTTTATGTAAACATTTGTCTACTTCTCTGCAGACACAGCATAGACAGAGCTTAGAGAATAGAAAACTCAACTCTGAAGTATGTTAGATTCCACGAGATTCCTCAAAAATCTCTGTAGCCAACCTAGCTGTCCTTTTGAGGCAGATTTTTTAGAAATGTATGTGAGCCTAATTTTTGAAACACTTTTCAATTTGGCAGAGGAAAGAAATATATTGGGATTAAGGCCAAAGGGAAATCTGATTTCATCCCAATACTAATTTATGTGGTTATTCAACGTGTTTATTAAGCATTTGCTGTTAGGACAGTCGCTGGAAATCTGTGTTGAGATAAAGAGATTAATTCCTTTGCTTAAGAATGTACTGATATAACAGATGTTATAGTTGGAAAATGTTGTAAGGATTGTAAGAGTGTTACAGCAGAGGATGTTATGACTGTGTGTTTAATCATTAGCTAGGTGCCTAAGATTATGATATAAGCCATAAGTAAAAATAATTTTTTAAACTAATAAGAACTGATACCACACTTGATCTTAGCCAAAAGGCTGAGAAATGATGATGTTTTAGTTATATCAGTGTATATCTATTTACCATACTTCTGAAGATGGTAACTAGTCCCATCATAAAAAAAAAATCCTAAACTAGAATATATTCAGATATACATAATGATTTGCACCTTTCTCATAGCTTACATCAAAAAGTTTGTATGCAATTTTTTAGATTGTTAATTTTGAAATATGAAAAATTTAAGCTGTGACATCAGTATGACTTACTAAAAGTAACAAATAATTTTTAAATGTACTTTTGTTACTTTTAAGAATATATCCATTAATGTTGACTTTTCAGGACCTCTAGTAAATAAGTAAAACTGAAAATTGCATATTTATATGTCATAAATGCTACTATAGGACTTGGGAGTAGTTTTGCTTTTCAAAGTAAATAGTATTCTCCTTATAAACTTATTTTAATTAATTCAGCTTTTTGTAAAAAATTCCGAGAATCTTTGGGTCATTTTAGGTCTAATGCCAGAAATTGTGAATTATTAAGGTTAGAATGTGAATGAATGTTTTTGCTATATAATCCTATGGCGTTGGCAAACTTTTGTAAAGGGATCAGATAGTAAATGTTTTTGATTTTAGAGGCTATGTAGCACATATCGACTACTCAGTTTTGCTGTTTTGGCAGGAAAGTAGGCATATACAACATGTAAATGAATAGACATGTCTATGGTCCAGTAAAACTATTTCCAAAAGCAGGCAGTTGGCTGAATTTTGCCCCGGGCCATAGTTTGCCAGTTCTTGTTTTACGAGAAGGATGTTGGTTAATAGTAATTTCCTAGATGGAAATATTTATGTAATTAGCAGTCCAAGTGTCTTTAACTTGTTTTTCTTTAAGATTTGTATGTTTTTGTTTGTTTATTTTGTTTTTAAACAGGAGCACCCCGGCTAAAATGTCAAGAACTCTTGAATTATATAATGGATACAGTGAAAGATTCATCTAATAGAGCCATTTATGGGGCCGATTGCAGCAACATATTGCTGAAGGACATTCTTTCAGTAAGGAAGTATTGGTGTGAAATATCTCAGCAACAGTGGCTAGGTATGTTTTGAAGTTTGGTGTTTGCGAATTTTTCCTTGTGAAATGAAGTTTCACTGAAACAGCAGTCATAGTCTATTTATATTCCCCAGTGACCTCACAGTTTAACAGCAATAAAATTGAATGATTATAGAATCTGACAGTTAGTTTTCATGTATTATGTACTTCCTAAATTGTTGTCACTAATAATGTATTAGGTGCCTGCTGTCAAAACTGGAAGTATGGAAATCAGAGAAGCCATCCCTGTCCTCAAAGACTTGACAGTCCAGTGGCAGAAAAAAACAACACGATATAGATATATTTGGGTGCAGTGAGTTCACAGATCAGTGACACCTAAACGCGACAATGATTAAAGTGGAAAGAAGAAAACCAGGAGAGATGTTATAAAAGAGAAAGCAGGAGAGTTTCAAGTTGGAAGGGGTGTGACATTTTAAGTGTTGTAGAAATGATAAGACACAAAAGTATTCATTGGATTAGGCAGTGAGCAGGTCACTGGTTAGGTAATGGAAATCAACAGTTTTAGCATGCAATATATAGGACCCAGTGACTTACAAGGTAAGTAGAGTGAGGCGCCAGGGAGGGATTGTTGACAGTTTGTAGGTGAGAGGTACTGAGAGACCACAAAGGAAGGAAGTTATGGTCAGAGACTGAAGCCTTTGAGTTTATTGGTTTCAAAGGTGGAGTATTTCTGGGCCTGAGTGGGTTGAATGGATGAAAATGGGATTTTAATGAGGTGACTTTAAGCCAGATGTCAAAATCTTTTAATACTGCCATCTCTGAAAATTTAGAAACTGAGCATTTTTGATTGAGAAATATTCAAGATAAATTGTGCTAACTTAAAAGACATTTACATTTATTTATTTTTTTATTATCAATTTATCATTTGAAAATGAAATGTTTGTGGTCCTTGAAACCATGCCCTCATCAGTGCCCTGCACTGTGCTTTACTGTTCCCACCTGAATGAAGGCATTCTCAGCTGCTGCATTCATTTCTTATCTGGGGCCTTTGCTGGTGCTCTAAACACAATGGAGTCTGTGTCCCAGACCCGACCCTCAGTGAGCCTAGGTGCAGCGTTTGGAGAATAGGCCAGTGATGTCTAGGACACCCCAACACGTCTGTCACCAAAATGGGTCATCCTAAATATTTAGAATATTTGTACATTTTAGATTATAACTTGTAACAGTGGGTCTCACTAAAACAAAGGCAGCTGTTCTTCTAGTCTCTTTATGATTATTTTATCATCCGGCATGTTCTCTGAAATTCTCTTTATTTTTAAGCAAACTACTTTCACTTCTGATAACCAGCCTTTTTGTTGAATTATTTTTCCAGTTAGTTCTCTTCTCTGAAGCTTATTTCTCTGATGAAGACTCTGCTCCAAAAGTGATGTTTACATTCAAAATGTATTTGGTAGGGTGGTGATTGAAGCCATGGTCATGTATGAGGCTGTCTAGGGAGAGAGTTTAGAATGAAATGAGATGGTGGCCTAAGACTGAGCGGACACTTCCATGGAATCTGCTTGTTGATTTCTGCAAAAAAGTCCTGCTGGGATTTTATTGAGATTGGGTTGAATCTGTTTAACAATGTAGACTCTCCCAGTCCATGAACATACGTCTCTTCATTTATTTAGTTTTTTTTTTTAAAAACACCTAAAACCTGTGTACTGTTAATTATAAAACTTATGTGTTTTATAAACACACAAGTTTTATAATTAACAGTATACAGAATTTGTGTATTTTTGTTAGATTTATATTGCATCAGTTTGTAAATTTTACTGTTGTTTAAAAAAATTTTCTTTTCCATGTCATTCAATGCTGTTATACAGAAGTACAATTGATTTTTGTATATCAGTCTTATATCCTGGAGCCTTGCTTAAATCACTTACTAGATCTAGGAGCTCTTTTGTAGATTCTGTGGTATTTTTTATTTAGACAGTCATATCATCTGCAAGTAGTAGAGAGTTTTTTTGTTCCTTCATTTCTGGACCATGTGGCTTTATTTCTTTTTTCTGCCTTATATTGCCTAGGACCTCAGTATGATTTTTTGCTAATGGTAAAGTGTACAAAACATAAAATTTACCATTTTAACCATCTTTCAGTATACAAATTCAGTGGCATTAAGTATAGTCACATTGTTGTGCAACCATCACCAGTCATTTCCAGAACTTTGTTCATCTTCCCAAACTGAAACTCTACCCACTTAACGAGAACTTCCCCTACTCCCACCTTCCAGCTCTTGGCAACCATTCAAATCTTGATGAAGGTACTCTTGACTACTATCAGTGCTGAGAAAAATAAGTTGTCCTCTTCCTCTGGTCAGAAATCTCATATCTTCTGCCAACATCCATGAAACTGGCATTCTGATTTGTTAGGTTACAAATAAAGTCCCAGACCTTTTGTAGTTCTTGACACACTTCACACACATTATTAATCAAATAGTATTAAGACAAAACCAGACCAAACAATGGCGAGTGCGCTGTGTCAAGTGCTTTGTTAGGCCTAGCTGAAGGAATTAGGACTAGAGAACTTAAGTAGCTTATCTGAGACCTGGCTCTTAAACTGATGTTCACATACTCTGCTGTCTGTAGTTGTTCTTGTCTTAAAGACAGTTTAATTAATAAAATTAAATATTAATGAAATGCTAAATATTAATGAAAAGAACGAAGCTGGGGGAATAACCCTCCCAGACTTCAGGCAATACTACAGAGCTACAGTAATCAAAACAGCATGGTATTTGCACAAAAACAGACATCCATACGTCAATGGAGCAGAATAGAGAGTCCAGAAATAAACCCACACCCTTATGGTCAATTAATCTTTGACAAAAGAGGCAAGAATATACAATGGAGAAAAGACAATCTCTTTAGCAAGTGGTGTTGGGAAAGCTGGACAACTGCATGTAAATCAGTGAAGTTATAGCACTCCCTCACGCCATACACAAAAATAAACTCAAGATAGCTTAAAGACTTAGACATTAGACACTATCAACTTCCTGGAGGAAAACATTCTCTGACATAAACCTTAGCAATGTTCTCCTAGGACAGCCTACCCAGGCAGTAGAAATAAAAGCAAAAAAAAAAAAATACAATTAATGAAATGCTTTTACTGTGTTAAATATAAATTAGTATAATTTTTAATCTTTTGTCTGTTGGAATTACTGAAATTCCAATTGGATTGTGACCTTTAAGTTAAATGTTTTGGTAATTTTCTTTTTAAAAACAAGTAGTATATTGTTTTTTTGTTTTATTTTGTTTTTAGAATTATTCTCTGTGTACTTTGAGCTGTATCTTAAACCTTCACAGGACATTAATAGAGTTTTGGTGGCTAGAATAATTCAAGCTGTGACCAAAGGATGCTGTTCACAGACTGATAAATTAGATCGTAAATTTCTGAATTGGGATTTTTTTCCTAAGGCTATTCAGCAAGCAAGGTAACCTAATTCACTTTTGTTTTGTATTGTAAATCCATTTGGTCTTTTTGCAAGACTATGTTTTACATTCAGTAACTAAAAGTATTACCAATTTTAGAAAAAGATTGACTGGGGAGAGGGTATAGCTCAAGTGCTAGAGCACATGCTTAGCATACACAAGGTCCTGGGTTCAATCCCCAGTACCTCCTCTAAAAATAAATAAATAAGTAAACCTAATTACCTCACCCCCCGCCCCCCTCCGAAAAACAGAAAGAAAAGCATTGGCTGATTATAGTAGAACTGTCGTTTCCCAAAGAAGGTGGTAGGTCCAACACTTCTTGAATATCCAATGTATAGAACGTGAAGTGATGTTCAAAAGTGTGGAAGTCTGTCTTGCTTTTTTAATAACAGGGGAAGCTATATTGCCTCTAAGTATTTTCATTTTCCCCATTTTTGAAGATAGATGTAAGGTACTAAGAATAAAATGAAATAGGGATGTATTTTGGGAATATCAGTGTCTTATATTTATGTGGCATTACCCAATTTATAGTGTGAAACATTTTAGAAGTGGTAAGTATTGCAAATGAGTTTTGTATAATTTTGTAAAATGTTTAGCAGCAGGGAGAGCTAGCAGGAGTAATCTCTTAATAGCCAAGTAAGAACTGTTTTTTTCATAAGTGTCTTCAGTTGTGTATTTCCCTCCATTATACCAACTTGAGTCTGTTTATTTTTTGTCACAGACAAGAAAAGAGCTCTGCAGGCCTAAATCATATCTTAGAAGCGTTTGTTATCTTCCTCAAGACTTTGGCTGTTAACTTTCGAATTCGTGTGTGTGAATTAGGAGATGAAATTCTCCCTACTTTGCTTTATATTTGGACTCAGCATAGACTTAATGATTCCTTAAAAGAAGTAATTATTGAATTATTTCAACTACAAATTTATATCCATCATCCAAAGGGAGCCAGAACTCAAGAAACAGGTATAAAGAAAGTTTTTGCTATTTTGAATTTGCTTCTTCATTAAAAGACTTAAGTATGAAATCTGTATGTTACAGGTTATGAGCTTCCTCTGGATTGCTGTGCTTGGTAATATTATTAGTCATAAGGATATTTTTCACACTTTTTTTTTTAAGAATTTGAAGCTGTGGTAGCAAATCATACGCCTTACCATTTGTTTAGTACAATGCTAGTTTTTTGAGGAATACAAACGTATGACACTGTCCCCCTCTAGGAGCTGATTATGCAACAATAATTAGGTCCTAAGAGATGACACAGACTGTAAGAGTGAAAGAATTTAGAGAAGGCAGGATCTTGTTTGTCTGCATATTGCCTTTATTAGAATATGTAGCAGATGAAGGTGGATTGAACCAGGCAGATTAGTCAGTTTCCGAGGAAGTTAAATACATACTGCCTTAAACCTTATGGTTACTCCGGGCTGTTTGCTAGGGAAACCAGAAATGAATGACTTATCCTCCCTTCATGCCTTTACGTTTGTCTTTCCCCAAGACAGTACTGCTTGGATGATGTAGATCCATTCAGTAGATAGGAACTTTCCTGGGTGAAACTGAATCAGTTCCCTTATGCATAGGCTACATTTGACTTTGGCTTATACCAGCCTTTGGACTAATCATAATGGCTGATTTAATGACCTTATTAAGGAATCACTCCTCCTTGAGTAATAGCTAAAACGGAGGAAAACTACTGTAGCCACTTTTTATCGAAAGCAGCTGTGTATGTCTCATGGGCCCTTCTGGTATGTATAGTTAGATGTATTTGTAGCCCAGGAAACTGCTGTAGGTCAAAGAACGGTGGCTATTCTTAGTTTTTCGTCTTTCATATAGCTGTCACCAAAATGAAAATCAGGCTTCCTAGGAGATGGTGTGGCATGTTTAGGGTTTTAGTTAACTGCATATTTAGGTTGCATTGAAAATTGGCAGATGATGAGGCTGTCGGAAACACTCGGATAGTTTTAGGCTACACTAATAGATTTGATGGTTGGTTGGTTGTGGAAAGTAATAGCCCCATTGCTTCCCATACTCGTTAAATCACAGCTGGGAGTATTATGCTCACCAGATTTTGTAGAGTCAGCATTTTGAAAGGGACATAAGTTGACTCAAGTGTGTCTAGGAAAAGATAACTGTGATGATAAGTCTGGATAACATATCATTTGTACACTCGCTGAAGGAACTGGTAATGTTTTTCTGTTAAACAAAGACATACATAGAAGTTGGTCCTCGTATAAAAGAGGGAGTGTATTGTATTTGCCTTAAGAGAGAGGAAATTAGAGAAAGTTTAATTGAGATTTTGATTGAACTGAGTAGAGAAAGTTAGATGAGAATATGGAAGAATTTTATAAGAAATACAGTTAACTGAATGTGAAATGGACATCATTACAAAGTAGAGCTTGTCACGAATGTGGTCAGAAGAGACATAAGTATGAACTAGGCTGGACCGGATGTCTTCTAATGTTATTTCCATCTTAACCGCTGAATAGCTATATGGGAGTTGGCAGTTCAAGTGGATTGTACGTATAAATGGTATTTTAATTAAATTAATTACTTTTAAAATTACAGGTTCTTATGAATCAAGAAAATGGAGAAGTATCTTATACAACCTGTATGACCTACTAGTTAATGAAATAAGTCATATAGGAAGCAGAGGGAAATATTCTTCAGGAGCTCGTAATATTGCTGTCAAAGAAAACTTGATTGAATTGATGGCAGATGTTTGTCACCAGGTATAGTAGGTCTTGTCACATTTTGAAATTTCCTATTAATTTCCCTTTCACTGGGCCTGTAAAAGCTTGTAAAATTATTCTATACATGTAACTTTTCCTTTCAAAACACCATCAATATTTGGAATTAAACTGGAAAGATGACTATTTTGCACATATAAACCTAGTGAAAACTGATGATGAAGTTTTGCTTTCTTAAAAGATGATCTGTAGGAAATAAGATTACCCTAACCCCGTACGTTTCATTTTTTATCAATTGAGTTTGAAATCACATGGCATAAAATTAATTATTTTAAAGTGTATAATTCAGTGCATTATTTATTTATGTAATTCATTTGGCATTTTTACTACTACGTTGTGCACCCATCACTACTGTCTAATGCCAGACATTTCCATAACCCCCAGAACAAACTTTGTACTTATTAGCGATCAGTCTCAGTTCTTAGCAAACAACCACTGATCTACTTTCTGCCTCTGTGGATTTGCCTGTTTTGAACATTTCATATAAATTAAATCATACAATATGTAGCCTTTTGTGTCTGGCTTCTTTGACTAAGCATAACATTTTCAAAGGTTTTCCATGTTGTCCATTAATCAATACTTCATTCTTTTTTATTGCTGAGTAAGATTCAGTTGTATGGATATATTACATCATCAGTTGATCGCTTATTATCTCTTTTTTTTCCTCCATAGAAGAAATAAAGAAATCTCTTTTTTTTCTTTTTTTAGAATAATTTTAAAGGTTATACTTCATTTACAATTATTAGAAAATATTGACTATATTCCCCGTCTTGTACAATATATCCTTGTAGCCTATCTTACACCCAGTAGTTTGTACCTCCCACACCCCCACACCTGCGTTGCGCCATCCCAACCACTAGTTTGTTCTTTATATCTATAAGGCTGCTTCCTTTTGCTACATTCACTAGTTTGTGGTGTTTTTTAGACTCCACATATAAGTGGTATCATATACTGTTTGTCTTTCTCTGACTGACTTCACTTAGCATAATGCCCTCCAAATCTACTTGTGTTGCTGGCAAATAACAAAGTTTCTTTTATATAGCTGAGTAGCGTTGCACTGTGTATATATACCACATCTTTTTTATCTATTCGTCTGTTCATGGACACTTAGTTGCTTCCATATCCAGCTTTGCATTTGTAAATAATGCAGCTATGAACATTAGGGTGCATGTGTCTTTTCACCCCAAATTAGTGTTTTTGGTTTTTTGGGGGTATATACCCAGGATATATATATTCTTCGGATCTATATTTGGTTTTTGGAATTACTGGGTCATGTGGTAGTTCTTGTTTTTTAAAAGGTTTGAAAAACCTTCATACTGTTTTCCATAGTGGCTGCACCAGTTCACGTTCTTACCAAGAGTGTAGGAGGGTTCCCTTTTGTCCACGTCGTCACCTACATTTGTTATTTGTATTCTTTTTGTTTTCCTTTGCTTGTGTTGTTTGTAATTAGGGAGGTAATTAGGTTTATTAATTTCCCCTTGGAGGAGGTACTGGGGGTTGAACCTGGGACCTCTTGGGTGCTAAGCATGTGCTCTACCACATGACCTGTACCCTTGCCCCAGTATTCTTTTTAATGATATCCATTCTGCCAGATATAGGGTGACATCTCACTGTACTTTTGACTTGCATTTCCCTGATGGTTAATAATATTGAGCGTCTTTTCATGTGCCTGTTGATCATCTGCATTTCCTCTTTGGAAGAATGTCTATTCAGGTCTTTTGCCCATTTTTGTTTCCTTTTGTTTTATATTCTGTCTTTTTAAAAATTGTTTATTTTTTAATTGAAGTATAATTGATTTACATTATTTCAGGTGTACAGCAAAGTGATTCAGTTATATATATGTATATATATAAATATATATTCATTTTTAGGTTATAGGTTATTACAAGGTATTGAACATAGTTCCCTGTGCTATACAATAGGTCCTTGTTTACTTACTTTATATATAGTAGTGTGTATCTGTTAATTCTTGCCCACTTTTAAATTAGGGTTGTTTTTGATGTTGAGTTATATGAGCTTTTGATTTCCCCATGAAATTTGACCTAGAGCCTTCCTGGATAGAGTATTCTTGGTTGTAAGTTTTTCCCTTTCATCACTTTAAATATATCGTGCCACTCCCTTCTGGCCAGCAGTTTTTGTGTAGAGAAATCAGCTGAAAGCCTTATGGGGGTTCCCGTGGAACTAGCTCTTTGTTTTTTCCTTCCTGCCGTCATAATCCTTTCTTTATCTTTAACTTTGGCCATCCTAAGTATAGTATCTTTTAGTGTAGGTCTGTTTGGGTTCTTCTTGTTTGGGACCTTCTGTGCCTACTGTACTTGAATATCTGTTTCCTTCTTTAGGTTTGGGAAGTTTTCAGTCATGATTTCTTCAAATACCTTTTCAATCCCCTTTTCTCTTTCTACTCCTTCTAGGACCCCTATTATTGTAGGTTGGTATGCTTTATGGTATCCCATAGATCTCTTTTATTGCTTTTGTTGGTTTTTCCTTGCTTTTCTGTCTGCTGTTTTGATTGGGTGACTTTTGTTATCCTGACTTCTAAGTCAGTTATTCATTCCTCTGCATTGTCTAGCCTGCTTTTGACTGCCTCTAGCTCGGCTCTTGTCTCAGCAATTGAGTTTTCTGTTTTTAATCGGCTCCTTATAGTTTCAATTTCCTTTTTATAGTATTCTCTGTTTTTGTTGTTAGTCTTTATTATTTCCTTCAGTGCTTTCATCACCCCCCTTCTGAGGTCGCGATCTAGTAGACTGTCGAGGTCTATCTCATTGTTCATTCTTTCAGGGGACTTCTCTTGTTCTTTTAATTGGAGGTGGTTCCTCTGCTTCTTCATTCCACTTACATTCCTCTGGATGGATTTAGGAGTATCAGTTACCTGCTGTGATCTTCAAGGGCTGTTTTCTGGTTTGTTTGTTTTTAATCAAAGTGGGAGTGCTCCTGTGTAGCCCGTGTGCCTCTGACAGTTTGTTGGGAGGGCTGTTCTTAGTATGGGTGGCTGCTGTGTCTCTCTTCCGTGTGTGTGGGCTGTTATCCCTTTGGCTGGGGGTGTGGCTGGCGTGGTGGTCAGAGCTTGTTCTGATTGTTGTTTCTGGGCTGGACCTCCTTGTTTGTTCTGTGGTTGTCATGGCCTTGGCAGGGCTAGGGCTGCTCCCCTGTTGCTGGAGTAAAGGCTTCTAGGCCCATTTCTGAGCTGCGGTGTGTGGTAGGCAGGGTGGGAGAGCTTCAGCTGGGAAGAGGAGTCGCTGAGTGTACCTCCGTAGGAGATGTCCACTGGCGGTGCCCGCTGTGGTGGTGTCTGTCACTTGTTATGAGGGCCCACAAAGTAGTCTCTGTTGATGCTGCCTTTGTCCCAGCCTTAGCTGCAGGAAAGTCAGCCACTTGCATTGGTGTCCCGTGCCCAGAACTGCCAGCACAGATCTGCCAATGTGAGACACCAGGACTTGCCTTAGCGAGCGTGCAGTCACACGCCTGAATCCATGGTGCACCACGAGGTTAGCGCAGACCCCAGCTCCGCCTTCGCGTACAGTACGGTACGCCATCCTGTTGTAAATACCTGTACTCGCCCCTGCTGTGTGCCAGAACCCCGCTCGATGCCTGTGCCTTCCAGAGGTGCAGGTTCACAGTGGTACCAGTGGAGCAAGTCCACCCTCTCTGCCTGGGGCTGTAAACTAATCTCAGTCCTGCCTGTGAAGTTGCAGGGCCCCTGGGTGTGGATTCAGCTTTCAGCCCTGCCTTTGTACATCAGTGATGGCTGTGACAAGGCCCTACCTCTCTTCCTCAGAGAATACACCAATAATGGAGCCAAGTGGGGACAGTGGCTATGGTGCAGCTGCGTTGCGCCCCTCTACCCCTTGTGCACGCACAGTGGTGCTTTTTTATGGGGTCCCAGGCTGTTCTGTTCTGCACGCCCCCCCCATCCAGAGCTCACACTGCCCTCCAGCCCCCCGAGGCTGTCTCTGTGCAGTGGGTCCCCGCCCTCCCCTCAGGCTCGTCACCAGTCTCCGGCAGCTTGTCCCGGCTTGTCCCTGCCGGCTCACATCTACGGCTGGGGATCGCAGGGACCTTCCAGCCAGTTTCACTGATTCTGCCAGTGCGGCACCGGTATTTTTTCTTTTTTTCTCTTGCTGTATTTTGTGAGAATCATCCTGTACTTTGAAGTGAGAGACACTCTGCCAGAGTTCAGTAGGTGTTCTGGGCGGTTCAGTGGGTTTGTAGATGTAATTCTTGGTGCACTTGTGGGCGATGACCAGCTCTGAGTCCCTCTACTCTGTCACCTTGGCACTTCCCCTTGTGATTTAATGTTCCTTAAAGAAAACTGTTTCTCCAGAGACTTGGTTAACATCCTAGGTAATTTCATTTATCAAATATTTTCTTAATGCTAAGTTTTTGATTTATTCTCTTTGAAAATAGAGATTTTTGCTTTCCTTTTAGATGTCTTGGTGCTTTTAGAAAATTTTCTCAGGAAAGAAAACTAGTATCTTACTTGGTAATATCTGCATTCTGGAGAGCCATTATAGTCTGCGAAGTGTTTGTTACCATATTATCATATCCTTATTTTCTTCAAGTTATTACTCTTGCTTTATGACTTCCTTGTATCTTAATTTGAGGAGGAACATTTTTTTCTAGTGAGCAATAGCAATATTCAGAAAAAAAAAACAAGTTTTCCTTTTGTTATTTTACAGGTTTTTAATGAAGGTACCAGATCTCTGGAAATTTCTCAGTCGTATACAACCACACAAAGAGAATTTAGTGATTGCAGTGCACCTTGCAAAAAGAAGAAAATAGAATTAGGCTGGGATGTAATAAAAGATCATCTTCAGAAGTCACAGAATGATTTTGATCTTGTGCCTTGGTAAAATATTATTATTTTTTTTCTTTTTTAATATCAGTTTAGTCTCATTAATTTTTCTCTCACGACCTCCAGTAGAATCCTTTTATCACATTGTCCAGAACTAGGTCACTTGTCCACTCCCAAACCAGCCACAGACAGAGGGGAAGATGATTGCCAGGACATGCTGAGATCAGCTACCATGGCTTATCTCCTGGGGTCAGAAACAGGTCCACCTTTCCTAAGCATACTGCCACAGCAAGGAAGAAGGGAGAATGGTTGCCGGGTAGGCAGTCAGTAGTGTGTGCCTCATGGATTTCACTGAGTTGTATACCTCACAGCAAAGAGATTTTGGTATGCATAATGCCTTCTACTAGAATTAGATTAGGAAGAAGTTAAAGATAGCATTTAGAAATCACAGAATAATTTGGATCTTATGCCATGATGAAAAGTTATTTTTTCTTATTTCTTCAGTCTCATGTAGCATTCACAATTATTTAAATAATGAAATAAAATATGGAATTCTGTAGAATCACAAAAATATTAGGTCTGGTTGGAATCTGTAGAATTCATGCCTTTTCGGCCTTTTTGCTTTACCGAGAAGAAAACTGAAACCAAGAGAGGATAAAGGTTGCCTAAGGACAGTTAGAATTTGTAGATTATAGTCAAACTTTTGTTAACAGTTCTGTTTGATCTTTACCATGTTGATACAATGTTTAAATGTAATTGAGTTGGGTGGAAGTGTATTGATTTAGATACCTGTTGCTTAAGCTCTTGTTTATTTTTCTATAGTTGATGGTACCTATTTCAGATTCTTTAATTTGTCCATTTAGAGTTATTTTTTGAACATAACTGTGTGCCAAGCATTAGGGATAGAGAGATGAATAAGATAAAGTTCCTGTTCTTTCTAGAGGATATGCAGCAGATATTTATTGAATTAACTGAATTAATATTGAGCAGAAACAGTTTTGGGGGTTTTTGTTCATTTTCTTATTTTAGAGCATTATTATTCACGGCTGAAAAGCAGGGGTGGGTGCAATAACTAAGCAGTAGAATATTGGTAATTTAATTATTTAAAGGTTTTGTGCAAGCAAAATATGAAAGCTTACCCAGCTAGCCAAAATGTTACCAATATTTTTGTCACTTTAGGAAGTAGGGCCTAATAAATATGAAGAGCCAGTTTATTCTGAGGGTAGTATGGGAAATGGTGATGACATTCTAATTAGGCTATTGTAAGGGTACTGTGTCTATATATTTATTTCCTTTTAGCTTCTTAATGGAGTTGAATAATTTTCAGATTATTTATACTTCTTTCTTAAGGTTACAGATTGCAGCTCAGTTAATATCAAAATACCCTGCAAGTTTCCCTAGCTGTGAGCTGTCACCGTTGCTAGTGATACTGTGCCAGCTTCTGCCTCAGCAGCGACGCGGGGAACGGACGCCGTATGTGTCGCGATGCCTTATGGAAGTTGCACTGTGTCAAGGCAAGAAATCGGACCTCGGAAGCTC